ACTCACACCCGAGAACGGTGAACTGACCATTTGTCTGGAGAATGGTGCTAAAGCCGGTTTCGTTTCTTTGCGGCACTCTATGGTGTCGTTTAATATGCCAAAGAATGAGAACCTTCTTAAGGCTTTTGACGATGCACGGACGACCTTTCGAACTGAGTGGATGGCGCTGGAAGAAAGCAGGTCAATACTGTATCAGCAGTATGAAATGGCCAGGGCGAAACTGGCTGATGAAAATTTAAAGATCCAGCAGGAAGCCTACGCTCAAACTGTGGTATCACATGATTGCATTAATCAAATGCAGCATCAGATTAATACGTTGCAATCGCAGAAAACCAGTTGCACGAGGAGAACAACCAGATGCAGTCGTGGTTTGTCCAAAAAAAAAAAGAAGGGACTTCCAGCGCAGCGGGCTGCAACAGAGGGTAGAAACGACTTGATCCCACCTGGTGTACACACCGTGGCGCATACTGCCAAGATGGGCGGGCATGCCAAACGGCTATTTGCTCTGTCGGGGGCTTAACCCCAGGTGGGGTTGCGAGGAATTCAAGAACTGAAGAACAAGTTCGTGGACAAAGGTTTCCGACCAGAAGAAAATACAAGGACCTTTGAGGGCGCTTTGGAGTATTTATTGGGGACCTCCCCGGAACAGTTTCTGGCGGCCTATCGCGGTCTTTTCCCATTACCCATAAAACCTGGATTTGATTTATACCAAACGTGGGACAATTTTGTGGCATGAATTTATGCCATCCGCCACGAGGGCATTTCGGCCAAACAGGTACAATTTTACAGATAGTTGTATTATCAGCTTCGGGCGGCTCAGGCGGCGAAGGAAAACCTCGGAGTCAATATCCAAACCCTTGCCAATGCCATCTGCGATCCCAGAAAAGAGGACGAACCGGTTTTTCAGGTGGTCCAAAAAGCGAAAAAAACATTTTTCTCTTCCTCCAAGCTTTGCGCGTTGCTTTCGATGCGGCCGCACCAGGCGCCACAGCACAACATGCTATGTGCAGATGAAAAAGACGCCGTTTAAGCCAAAAAACGATTTTCGGCCACGGAAGCGGTGAACTCCGAGGCCGGGAAAGCATTGGAATACTTACCGAGTGGCTCGGGCACCGCCGGGTTTCCGGGAAACGGGCAATTCTCCGCGTGAAGGGACCAGCACAGCAGCCCTTCAGGCCGGACCCCACGGGCGCCCCCCACTTGGGAGGGATCAGCTGGCACAGGTTCTTCCGCCATTAAAAAACACCGGCAAATGAGATTACAGTAATTGTGGCACCGCCAAACGACTCATATGTCACAGTGCTGGCGTCCGAGGCGAATCGCATCGCCAAGGGTATATGGACCCATTCGGTTTGTGAACAAAGGGTGCCCATAATGCAAAGATTCCGCGACTTTGCGAAAAGGAACGATCTAGAGGTTCGGGAGGAAAACGTTCCTCTTTTTATAGTAAGTCTACAACTCCCTAAGATCAGCGCGGTGCAATACACAAGAACTTTGTTGACCTTACTGGCTTCAGGGGGATCACCGGCCAGGATGTTTTTGGCCGGTCTTCAAAGGAAGGCGGCCGCAGACCCCATAAAACAGGCCCGCCCCATAGAGAGGAGGGAATTGGATCTCATCAGCGATTTGTTCTTCTCGGAAAACGATCAGGTTGCCCTACGACCCGCCTGCGTCACAGCCAGTCGGTGGGGCGAAATCGCTCCACTCCAAAAGGAAAATTTTATTCCCCATCCTAAAAACAAGGAAGCCCTCATTGTTGATTAGGGGGCTCTCCCAAAGACATTCAAAATCGACCCTCGCCGAGCTGCGCGATACGTGATTATCGGGGGAGAAGGCGCAAAAAGAGCAAGAGGCGTCGCCACGGGAATGGTGGAGGGGGAACGGCTCACAACGTTAACCGCAAGAGGCATGGAAAACGTTCTCCGCCCATTCGGCATGACAGCGCATTCCATAAAACGAGGGGCACTGGCGCATGCCGCCGCAGCGGTGATCGAAAACGATCTCAACCCCCGGCTGCTGGCTCAGGTGGGGAAACGCGCAGACCACCCAGAACT